AAACTACAGAGCCAGAACGACACTGCTGAAATGGATAAGCATCTGAATCTTACATTTGAGCCTTTCATTTTTCTAGGATTTCATCACTAACCATATTTTCCCTTCTTTTTGCCATCAGATGTGATACAATTTCTTTTTTACTCTAGGTATACAGTAAGGCACTACTAAAAGTTATGCTAAATTGCCACAAAATATGCAGAAATTTCAATCTACGACCAAGTAAATTATGGAAGCCTATCTTTTAAATAACTACAAACATTTCTAGTTAAAATAGGGAAAATTTCAGGTATGTCTGTTGATATTTGATTGTATACAACCTAATATATTAGAAACTAAAATAATAAGTAATTCAATAATGTGGTCTACCTCAAATAATCAGTGACTGATGGTGAAAGTAAAAGTCTATTTTCTCTGATTTGGAACTTCAAGCTGGATATTGGTTTATATAGTAAGTGATAGTTTTTATATTTTTCAGGACATAAATGACATTGATTTGATTTAATCATCGATGACTTAACAACCAGAACAGAAATAGGAAGGAATTTCCCACTGTTTGTACTTAATAGACCTATTAGTATGTTACATCTAATGGATTCATGTTACTTGGAAATGACAAGAACAGGGTAGGAAGCAATAGCACAGAATTCCCTCTATTTCCTTTTCATCCAAACACAGTTTATCCATGGTTTGCAGATTCTGCATTAGGGCTCCTTCAGTCCAGTGCACTCAAGGATATCTGAACTGCTCAGAGAAGGTTGGAAAAGCATCACTGGCTCTGTGGTGGCTTTAGGTGGGAGTTCACGATAATCCATATGCTCCCAATCCCTAATTTATTACTTCACATGCTGCTAATACTGCATAGTCCAGCTGGACTAACTCCCTTCAGAAACAGCGCTAAAGAAATGGAGCACAAGGAATAAGCTGTGATTCTGGATGGGGCTTAGCAAAATGGAAAGGTTTGGGAAAAGGCCAGCCTGAGATGCAGCAGTGGAGGGCATCCTATCCTTTATCTGGCCATGGAAGGGGAAGGAATAGTGCCCCAAAAGACTCATGGGGATGGGCTAAAGGCTGTGTTGGCCATTGCTGTGCAAGGCAGAACAGTGGATGTGGTGGCAGAAGGGCCTGTTAAGGGAATGTCTGTATGGTCAGGCATCTGGAAGCATCAAATCCCATTGGCATCACCTCCAATGGCCTCTCTGGGATAACCAGCAAGTTGTCTGGATAAAACCTTACACTTCTGTGGTCATCAGAAAGGGGATAAGTCTCACAAGGAGTAGGAACAGACTCTAGAGCTCTCTCTTGGTACAAAGCATGGTACAAGGCAAAGAGAAAACTGTCATGTCAAGTTGCTTGAATACCTGGACTGTTAATAGCTTCTTTCTGCTAAACAGGGTCCTAAATATCTGTGTCTTTTACTAGCTGATGTTTGTTGCACCAGTACATGCTAGCATGGAGCTGTGCCTGCTAGATCTTTGCTAGGACAGTGGAAGCACACTTATTTTCTCTTATAGTGGAATCCACTGTAGACTTCTGAAGCTAAAAGTTTAAATTTTTAATGTAAACAGTATCTTATTTTCTCTCTGAACTTCTGTTGCATGCTTCCAAATGAAATAAATTGAATTAATAAGTTAGTGTTTTATGAAGACTGATTTATTGCAATGATTTCAGAATAATACAGAGGAAACTGTATCAGTAACATAATGACTCAAAGAATGTGGCAGTTTGATTTATCAAATGTGCGTTTGTCTGAATCCCTTTATGCATCTGATTCCTCATTTGATTTCAGTGTAGTGACTCATATCAGTCCAAACCAAGTAAAGAAATATCTGAGATCTGATGGGATCATCTTTTTTCACCGATATATGCAGCAATAGCATCCCTGGGGAATTTGCCACGTCAATGGAGGATAGGGATTATTGCAGAAAATCTGGCTCTTTGGGTCAAGTCATAAAGGATTTTTATCTCAGTGAAGTTTAGTTCATATCCTTTTTGTATCAGCCAAAAGACAGTCATTACATACACAACCTTCAAAGCAATGGAGAATTAAATTCAGTGCAATTTCCTGTCTGTTTTAATGCAACAGTTTTAAAATAAAAACCCCCAAAACCTAGTCATCCAAGAAAGTAGAGAAAAGTTATTTTTCACTGGGTTTTTTTGCCATTTGAATTGGATTTACTTTTCTCTTAAGGTGATTTCAGGCTTTTTGAGACAACTAAACTCTGTATAAGTACAGAAGATTCCAATATGAGTTTATTTACAGCTTAGATAGCCGTTATTTTTACATATATGACCCTGAATAATATATCTATATTCTTCTTTTGGTATTTGATGCAAAATGTAAGATGCACTAGAGCCAAATATATGAACACCAAAAGAATAAGAAAGGAAAAATGCAGACTTGGCCACACTTGGATGACGTAAAATCTGAGTTGGTTTTTGTCACACCAAAAGTGTGAATGCTTTCAGAACTTGTGAAAATTTGTATAAATGAACTAAAAGCTATCTTTTATACTTGTATATCCGATTTTCCTCTGCAGGTCACTCTCTCACCACAATCATAACGATGTAAGAGATTAACACCTGAAAAAGAGACATGCATAAAGCATGAGCTAGGCTCAATCCTGCTTCTCTTCAAATTCCAGGCATATTTATTTTATACTGAGCTTTCTTCAACTGAAACACTTCTTGTGACCACCAAGGACAAATCCCTATGACTGTCCAATAACCAGTTTGGTTTTGGGTTTATTTGTTTTTTTTACCTTAAGATAACTAATTACAAAATCAGTTTCTGTTATTCATCTTAAAAGGTGGCAACTCTTTTTGCAGTCAGCTTTAGAGTTGCAGTACTCATTCTTGGTTCTTCCTGGGCTTGGTGCTATGCCTGTGGAATCACTGGAAGAATGTCTTATATATAAAAAACCACAATAAAATACATTTTTCAGGAAGAGGCTCTTGCTTAGTTATATATTTCGTATGTTCTTTGCTTGATATATTGCACAGAGAAAAAATCTGTTCTGCCAAAATGCACAAAGTGTGAGCAGAAACCAGACCAGAGTCTTTAACCCCATGTGGGCAGGAAATACATGGAATAATTCTGTCCTGAAAGGCACATTTGCAAGTTAAAATGCTTGATGCACATCAGGTGAGACAGAGAGGGTGATTTTTTATTGTTAAAATACCATTTTGCAATCTGTTAGTCAGGATCTATCAGCAACAGTAAAGTCCAGTCTCATCTCATTGTTGCCATGAATATGAAATTCTCATGTGTAACAAAATAATCTGACCTTAACCTCTGGAATGAAAAAAATGAATTCATTTAGTTGGGGTTTTTTTTGTTTGTTTGTTTTTTGTTTTTTTTTTTAGTTTTACATGTGTTAAAAGCACAAACTGCTGATCTATATGTAAATAAATGCTACAAGATGAATGTAAAATGGGAAAGAATATACTATTTTTGCATGGTAATAGGTGACTTAAAGACCTCTTGATGCCTTAGAAAAAAATTGAAAAAGCGTTTTATTTTGTTTCAAGACAATTCTATTGGCTTGCCTTTTGTATCTTTAGTTCACTTTGGTATTCTCGGGGGGGGGGGGCGGTTAGAATTAATCATTGTTTCTTCTTGGAACTGATGTTTTTCAATATTTTACACATTTGGTGGTTTCTATGCCACCTTTGCACCTGTGAAACAATGAAGCTTTTCAGAGAAATCTGGATGCCCAGAAATGAAAAAGTTTTAGATCCCTTGAATTCTTCCAAAGAAAAATGTTTTCTGAGGCATCTGGAGTCCCTTTAAGCCCTTCATTTCAGCTTTTTGTTATGTATTTTAGCAAAGTAAAAGCAGCCAACAAATGAGGCATTTTGGTAAGTGTTGCCTATTGTATTTTCAACTGAAAGTGAAGGGGGGTAAAATTTAACATATAAATTTGTGTAAAAAAAAAATCCTAACTGTTGTTAAAAATTTTTCAGTTTTGGTATATTAGCATGTATATCAAAGAGTCATCTATGGAAACTTTTGTAAAAAACTAAATTTTCACCTTTCTCAAAACTGCTCATAAGATTTTCTTGTGGACTGACATACAATAAAAGCTCTTTTATAAAAGATCTGTTGTTCCTCCAGTACTTTGTCCTCACCATTGGTATGAAGTCATTCAGAATGTGTGGCTAAACTAAACGTGTTGTAAAAATAAGAAATTATGTAAAATAAAATAGCGACCAAAAGCATATTGGGACATGAGATTGATTTTAGCAATCTCCTATGAAAACTAATTGTTGCAAAGTTCTCTGAAGATGCAGCAGTCTTTCTGTAATGGCTTCGATTTTAATTTAAAATCAATAATAATATAACCACATGTATATGCTTGTTTAATATGAATTGCAATTGGGAATGCATAGTATTTTTTCAGATTGTGTCTAAACCAATAAAGTTTCAAAGCATATGGGCTCTACTCCGGTTTTTGTGTGCACTTGTATCTCCCTTCACTTGGAAATCCACAAACGCCTGAAACGCCCAGAGCCAGGCTGGATGGGGCTTGGAACAGGGTGTGGCAGAAAGGGTCCCTGCCCTGGCAGGGGGGAACAGGATTATATCTGGGCTCCCTTTAACCCAAATTATTCTGGTTCTATACGCTCTATTTTTTTAAGGTAACGAAGCAACGAGATTCCTCCTGCCTATAGCCTGAAGCTGAAACACGGGGTCAGAGCAGTATATGGATTATCACACACACACGATTTATTGATTCCATTTTCACCAGGGGAGTTTTTCCCTGCGAGGGCGGCGATGCCCGGATCCGCCGGACCCGCTGCAGGTGTCTCGTGTCCGGTGTGCCGCGTTCCTCCTGCCCACATCGGCTCCATCATGAGGGCGGCTCCCTCACACTGGCCGATTCCCCATAAGGACCGCTCCCTCACGCGGGGCGATGTCTCCTAACGGCCGCTCCCTCACACGGGGCCCGCACGGCCACCCCGCGCATGCGGGCTGGGGCGGCGCCACCGGAGGGGCCACGGGCGGCGGAGGCTGCGGCAGCCCGGGGTTGCCATGGAGCGGGAGCGCCGGCTCCGCGCTCCCTGCGCCGGGAAGGCTCTGCGCAAGAAACGCCGCTCGTCCCCTCTACCGGAGGCGGCCGCTCTCCCGGGCAGCCGGGCCGGCGGCTCTCAGATGTGCCGGCGGCGCCTGTTCGGGAGCGCGGGGCCTCGCGGGCCCGAGCCCGCCTGTAAGCGCCTGTCCCGGGCGGCGGCGGAGCTTGGGGTGCAGGAGGCGGGGCCCGCACCGGCGGGAAAAGGTGGGAGAAAGAGGACCCTGTGCTGTGCTTTCAGCGGTGTGTTCTGATGGGTAAAGATGCTAGGCAGGGTAATGAGGTCAAGATTTTTGCCAGCAGCGTCCTCGGTGGCCCCCAAAGGTTTGTTCTCACATGGGTGCCCAGCGCAGCGGGTCCTGTGTAAGGCTGGGGGGTGATTTCTTGTTATCTATGTCCCTCACCGCTTGGAGAAAGCAGACTGCTCTTCTGGAAACAGGAGTGTTGATTCTAACTGCTCGTTAGCAATAGGAAGGATTTTTCCTTCTGTGAAGTGCCTCCCCTCCATTTAATCGAGTTGGAAGGGAGCGTCTAGAAATGGCAAGACAAAAGTCTTGCTTAGAGAGAATATTTTAAGACTTGCTTGAAGTCGTTACTGAAAAGGAGCTGCCTCGTTGTTGAGCGCAGTGCAGCAGATACCAAGCTAAGCATTTGAGGCCTGTTAAGAAAAAAATGCAGTTCAAGGGAAGGGATGGGAATTAAGTGAAGCCTGACAGAGTAGGGAGAACACCAGCGTGGGATGTCTTGATCTTGGGCTGATCTTGGTAATTTAAAAGTAAAGCTCTGCTGTGAGAGGGTACAGCAAACATTTGTTATTGCCTTGCTCCTGCTCGTGTATGTATTTAGTGCTCCAGTGCACTGGATGGTGCGACCAGCTGCCTGGAGGTCTTCCATGTGCTTGAAAAAAAGAAGGGAAAGGATGAGTCCTGTCCTTATATCATCCTGTCCTGAATTCCAGGAAGCTTCAGCCGAAGGGTTCTGTGTTGCCCTGGGGAAATGCAGTGACTCAGACCCGGGTTTTAGTGTGGGGATGGACGCTCCTTTGCAGTCATAAAAGTGTAACTCGAGAAAATTTAACTGTTTCTAGCTTTTAGATAATGAAAGCAAAGCACAATGCTAAATGACTCATAAAATTAGTTTTAGGATAAGAAAATATGTCTCTGAAATTTGCTGGTTACTGATTAGTTGTGTTGTTAATGCCATTTGGGATTATATACAGTGAGGACCAATTTACATAGAAATCCTTGATACTCCTAATAAACACCATTTAAAACCGATTTGTACTCAAACTACTTTGAATCAAGGTAAAGGTTGCTTCCAGGGTGGTGAGGTTTTTTCCTTTTAATCAACAGGTTTCCAAGACATGAGAAGTATTTCTTTAAGTCTGCTTTTCATTTTGTCTTGATATACTGCTGAAAAAAGTAAATTCAGATTTTACATTGTGTGTGATAATAGGGTCAAAAAGTTTTATGAGTGTAGAAGGTGAGGACAGCTAAATTAGAAATAATAATCTAAATTTTAATGTTGAAATTATCATTACTGAACTAGATATTTATTCTCTAGGTCTGAAGAAAAAGTCCAGTGGGAAAAAATTACCAAAGATTAAAGAAAATGTTGAATATACTGAAGAGAGCTCTTCATGCAACCAAAGGTCAGCTGGACCTCATTTAAACACACTATTGTTAAGACTTGCTAGTAAATGATATTGTTTGGTCTTGTGAGATGGCAATTGGAGCAATGCAATCTGAATTATGAGAGCACTGATGTTTGTCAGATTATTTACTGACACCCTATAAATACATTTTGGAGTTGTTGCTTTTGTCTAAAGCAGTGTAGCTCTGTGAGTGAACTTGGTTCTATTCTTCAACTGCAGCAATCAAGTGACTGGCAGGAAAACAACAGACTTTAAGAGGAAAGAAGAGGTGCCAGAAGAAAGCAATGTACCACTGAAGGTGAGAATGCTGTCTTGCTTTTTATCTACTAGTGATGGAGGATAAATCAGAGAAATGTGACACATTAAATTCTCCTATTCAGGTAAAATTTCCTATGACTTACGTCTGTGAGCCCAGACATTTTTCAGGCTGAACGTGGTCCTGTATTTTGGATTACATTTTCTGTGTCTTTAGCCAGAATAAAAGCTGTTTGAGGTACTGGTAGCATGAGAAAACATCAATACTAATTTAATTATCTTGGATGAGGCAAGGCTGTAGGAATTGTGTTGTGTGGAAGAGATGTCAGTAGATTGTGATTCCAGAGAATTGCTCACTTCTAGGTCAGGCACAGACCTTTGACACATCACTGATGCTCTTTCTTGTGTTATTAAAACTGGAACAAAGTGATTGGAGGTGATGGTGCAGAAGTGTTACAGGACAGTTAATACTGCAGTGGCAAGAGAATAGTGAACCAGGTGTTTGAACTGAAATCTGCTGCAGCAAAGGGCACAGGTGATACTGGTAGAAAACTATTTTTCTTTAAAATGTTAGCTCTTCTGTAGAGTCTACCAATTATTTACATTTTTACAAAATGCCTAGTTTTGTAGAATCTATTGCCTACACATTGTAGATGTTTGTATTTACAGAAATAGTGTAGGATTCTGAAAGTGAGGACTTGGTGTCTGAAAAAAAAAGACAGTGAAGTTTATTACCTCTGTTGTGCCCGAGTTCAATTCATGTCAGCATGCCTTCATTGGCACTCTCATCCAGCAAAGATCGCAGGATCAAGTGGTACAACATTTGTGATAAATTTTAGAGCTATAAGTTTGCAGATTTGTTAATGAAAAATCCTACAGCAAATTACACTGTGAATAGCAGGCTTAAGTGGTGCAGTACCAGACAGTGAGTTTTCTCAGCATCTGCTAATGTAGGATGATATAAATGCCTTTCTTTGTCTACATTTAGTTTTCTTAGGTTGTTTGTATTGGTCTTTTAATTTTAGGATTCCAAAATAATCAACTTTGGATATAAAGGAAGTTTGAAAAATGCTGAAGTGACCTCAAGTGAGTATAATGACTAGACATTATATTATTAAATATATTTGATATTGATAATAAACTAAATGTAAAATTCCTGATAAAATTTTATTTTATAAAAATACTGGTCATGTGCTGTGCTGTTGTTGTACTGGTTCTTGTAGGGGGATACAGTATGGGTAAATGATGTAGTACAGAATGTAATCTTATCCCCTAAAGAGTTGCAGCTGAACCAATTACTAAAGATTAGGAGCAGGCCTGATGATAACAGGCCACAGCTGTAGCCAGTAAGAACAGTGCTATAAGAGAGTGGATTGGTGGGAACTGGAGCCAGATGGCTGCTGCAAAGACAGGAACAGTCAGTGCTTAGAGGAGCTGCCTACGAGAAACAGTGAGGAGGTACAAAACTCTGGTGATATGGAATCCTTGCACTATAGTGATAATAGAGCTCTTGGTATGTAAGATAACAGGTTCTGACTGTGTGATATTAGAAAGTGAAGGTTCTGATACCCCTGGCTGGACTTCTGCCTCTTACTGCAGCCTGTGGCTGGACTCACATGAGTTGGTTCTGGCAGCACAGCGAGACCCACAGCACCTGAGACAGTCTTGAGCCCAGCCTGCTACAAACCATGATCTTGGTTTTATCATTGACACAGCTAGCTGTGGACATGAGTTCTTCAGTTTACTCAAACCTGCATTTCTAAAAACTTGTGGTGTATTTAAGATTTGCCTTGTGAACCTTGGGCAATGAAGGTTTCTTCTCTTGGCTTGTGGTAGTGTATGCTAATAATCAAAGGATGCCCTTTAACTGTATTATGACTTATTATATAATGAGTGATAATATTTAGCTCATTACAGCAATGAAACTCAGATAAGGAAATCCTGATTGTTTGTACAAGATGACAGATTTTTTTTTAGCCACGTTTTTTGTCTCTTTCTCTAGGTACAGAAATTACTCTTCCCACAGGTGTTTCCACCTTCCTCATAGAGTGTTTAGATGAAGATTCAGCTGCAGATTATAGCTCTGCTAGCAACAGCCTGCAAACGTACTCATCCCCTGAAACATTCAGAGATGATGATTTGGGTGAGACTTTTGGGTGACTTTTTTCAGTTTTATTTGATGCAGAAAACGTGGGGAGACTACAACAGAAAGACCAGGGGCCTCCCTTGGTGGGACTCACCAGGTTCACATCTTTGCTAGAAACCTGTGCTTAGCATGGAATCAGTGTATCTGTCCTCTAATCTGGTGTGAGTCAGGTCCTTATGTAATTTGAATCCTGCTTTAAACCTGAAGTATTCACTGTTGACACAAGCTGTTTATTGGGAATGACCCACAAATGTGAGTTCAGTCCAAACTTTTCTGCAGCTGTTTGAGCCAAGACAGTGCTTGAATTTTGCTTTTTAGTTCCTGCCCTGCAATTGTGTTTGCTTTCAATTTGGTCACAAATTTAATAACTCAATGAATATCAGCATAAGAAATCTGCACTTTCTTTTATGTCCAGAAAGATGCAATTTTTACTCTATGGACCTTGGCAAGTACAAGAACTCTACTCTCCTGGACTCCAGCAAAGCAATGACCATTGATAAGATACCACAGATGTCAAATCTTTCAGCAATATTAGGTAATTCTTTTCTACAATACTTCAGGATATAAACATAAACAAATTTCACTCTGGTTGAGGAACCTGTATAAAATATGTAATGATCATTTTATGTAACATCTGTTAGCATAATGGAGAGCAGCTCCCTGCTAGTGGTTTGTGTTTGCTTCTAATATTGTGCTTTATAAGTTAGTTTACACTAAAAAATTGTCTGGTCTAAGCTGGCATAGCCTTTTCATTTAAAGTTTAGCTTTCATGTTTTGGGTTGTTTTTTTTTTTTTTAGAACCTGTACCAGAGGATTTTCCAAACCAACGCACAAAAAGGTAATCACTACAGCAGACTCTGATGCACCTAAATGTTCAAACTCTTCTCTTTTGAGAGGTATTTAAAAGAAAGGCCAGTACAAATAAGCCTCTGCTCATGCAGACACTTCAGTGGAGTTTCAGCTACCTGTGTCCTCACTAACTTTGATATGGGTGGAATTTGAAATTGGTCAGGAAAGAGTTTGCCTTACAGATTTCTAGTTTGGCCTTGCAGCTGTAGGGAAGTCAATGCAAGAGACCTCAATAAAAGGTTTTATGGAAGGAGATGGCATTTATTTACAAAATCACTAAATAAGTTACTTTTATGCAATTGCACTAATTCTGTCAGATTTCATTCAGACACAGCAAGAAGGGGTGTGCTCAGGTGGTGTGGCCAGGCTTGTCTGTGCAGTAGAGTTTGAAGGGTGCCATTTTTGCCTATATATATTTTACTTGTTGTCAAGTCTTCATTAAGCCTGACATTCTGTGCTTGCCCAGAGAAAAATCAGGTTTTGGGCAGGTCTTTTATGTTCTCTAGGAATCATCAGCTTATTTGGGGAGCAGCCTTTGCTTTGGAATCCTGCTGACTTTATTCTATACTCTTGGGCCAAGTTACTGCCTGTTGATAGTGTTTGCTTACTCAGAATGCATCTGCCAGGAAGTAGAATGGTGTGTGTGTGTGTGCTGTGCTGGCACCCTGTTGACACCCTCCTGTTTTTGGGTGCTGGGTTTTCTCTGACAAGTTGTCTGTGGTGAGGTTTTATCACAGGGAAGGGTCTTCTGTAGTTGGCTTTGTCACAGAGCTGCCTTCAGGTCCTGACATAAAAACTGAGGAACGTGAGTGTTTTTCTGGGAACAGCATCATTTCTTTTAACCCTTGTGCTTCTCCTTCCAGTCTTTATATGCAGACATTTTCATTCATAATGCATATCAATCTTACTGGTACAGATCTTTACACAATTGATTCAGAATTTTCTTGCAAATCTAATTTCCCCTGCATCCTCCTTAAATGTGTTCTGTCCTAGAATGCTGAAGTGCTGAGTATTTAGTGAATCTTCTGTGGGTCTTGAATTGCAACAGTCCTCAAGATAGATGTGTGACTTGATAAACTATCAAATAACTCTAAGGGGTGATAAAGCAACTCCTTAACAATATTTTTTAAATAAGATTTATCCTATTTCACTCAATCTCTATTTTCCTAGGATTTTCTTATTAATAGGTTATTTTAATGTTAACATTCATTCAGAATCTTTTCTTTTTCTCCTCTTCCAGAAAGAGACCATCAAGTTGCTATAATAGTTCTTCAGCATTAAGCGTTTCAGCTACACTGGCAGGTAAAATATGACCTGAAGCAGTTGTACTAGCTGTGAGAACAGAATATTCTACCCAAACTTAAATGGTTGCACAGTATCTAAACCAGGCTTTTACTGTGTCCTTTGTCTTCCAGCACAGACTAAACTCAGTTGTGCTCTAGAAGGGAAAGTGTAAATTGAAAAATTGTCCCAGCAAACAAGACTTGGTTCTAATTAATGTGTTAGGAGACGAAAACAAAACCAATCAACTAAAATCTCAGACCTTGCATTTTCCAGTTTTCACTGAGCATCACCCATGATGCTCAGTGAAATTGGCATTGAAAATTGACATTTCTTATTTACCTTACCCAGAGCACAACTATTTGTGTCATGCTCTTTACTTGAGCTAATTTCATGTCAGCTTCACAAATACATTGATGTAACTGCAGTTCTGATGTGTGACCAGTACAATTCTGTCTGCAGTCCAGGTACCACATAATTCCCCCCTGCTTAATTTGGAGTGTAATAGCATCAGAAGCTGCCTCTGGTAAAGACTGCTGTGATTATGCAGGTCTCAGTGTTTACCCAGTATATAGCCAAGTGACCATTTTAATAAGCAGCCTTGTGTACAGAATGGGAGAGGGGTAAAGCAGTCCTGATGGTGGGGAGATGAGGATTATATTGGAGGGGAAAATTGTGTTTACAGGAGTGGCTTTAGAATTATTCCTCTTTGGAAACCATCTTGTAAGACATGGGGTGGAGAGTAGCTGTAGTAGTCTTTGTCTCAAAGTTAATTAATGTGTTGGAAATCTGTCACAGGAAAAAAACTCTGTAAAATAACAGCTGCAAGAGAGAGAACTCCAGATCTAAAAAGTGGTATGCGCTGTTCTTCACCATTAGGACCGGAAAGCAAGGTGAAAGATTCTTAATAAATCAGCAAGGTTGTAGCACAAATGACTTCCTCCTTGTATGGGTGGAAAACTCCACCTAGAGGAACAGTAGTTCCTGCTACACTTGTAAAGTGGTGTTTGCAGCCAGGGCAGAGTGAAAGAGTGAAGATGTAGCTTGCCTCTCCCTTTTGAGAGAGCAGTAATCATGCTGTCCCCAGGCTCACTGCTTTTCAGACTGGCTGTGTCAGTGGTACTGAAATGGGTTGTGTAGAGCTCGACTATGACAAGGGGAACTCTTTTTTTTTTTTTTTTTTTTTTTTTTTTTTTTTTTTTTTGAGTGGCTATACCAGGCTTTTGCTTACCAGGCTATAGAGGCTCCCTTTGTAACACAAAATGTAATTGTTTTACTATTTAGTATGGTACTCGAACAGCTAAAGCCAAAAGACTGAAGAAAAAAGAAAGCAGTTTTAATCCCTTTGTAGAAGGTTCATCATCATTTAGGCAGCTTGATGCCCCAGAAAACACGTCAGCCCGATCAGAGGGGCTGACAGCAGAAGTTCTGCCAAGCAAACCCACAGATGCTGTGGTGGTAAGTGTTCCCATTGTGCCCCACTGATTAACCCTGGCATGGAATGGAAATGGGAGTTGTGAATCTTGACTGAAGTTACAAAAAGTGGCAGGAAGTGCCACATCTGAAATGTCTGAGCTGCAGTACGCTAATTTGTAGATTCTTTGTTTTAATTTTGGAGAGCATAAGACCAAAAAATAACCCTGAATGACAGGAATTCAGTACTTAAATCTGAAGAACTAGTAGTAATTCTAAATGGAGTTCTTGAAGTATTGTGTATTAAGAGAATACTGTAAGAGTAATAATAAACAGCAAAGACTTTGAAACTGATACTGAGTTCTTCTTTGTTTTTGTTTAGCAAATGACTTCCACCATGCTAATCATGGAGGAAAATAAAGTCCTAAAAAATCCTGGTAATGCTCAGCCTCTCGAGCTAGATGTGAGTGTCTGAGTTTTGTTTTTTTTTTTTTAATTATTAAAACCAAAGAAATCATTCCTTGTGGCACATTCCATTTTTGCCTGTGTATGTATATATTACACTGCAAATTGCACAACAAACTGATAATTCTGGACACTTAAAAACCCAAACAACCCAAGCTAGGAATTTGTTTTGCTTTTTTACAAATGTAATGTAAAACCAGCACCAGTATCCTTACTTGCATAAACTCTTTGATTCAAAATTGATATTTAAATGCCAGTTTGAATTCTTTGGCTGTACAGTACTGCTAGTTGTCTCTTCACACTTGAGCTAGTGTGTACTAGATTAATAAATAGAGAATATCAGGGTCTTGGTGAATCCCTAAATAATTTTTATTTAAGCAATAGAATATCTTCTGCATGAGCCAACAAGCATTAGCCAGTCTGAATTGCTGTCTGTTATTTAACTGGGCAGTTATTCCTATATATTTTGTATTTTGACGGAACTGTAGCTTAGCCTGTCGCCGGTGTGTAAAGCCTCACCTGGGGAAGACCTGTTCCTGAATACCACGGGTCTTTTTGTTAACTCAGAAGAAATTGTTCCTGCATCTCTGAGCTCAGAAAAAGAAATGACTCCTCAAAGTCCAGAAGAAAAGAATATTTTAAAGGTTCTGATTTTATTGCACTTCTTAAATCCAGTTTTGTCATGCTAATTTCTACTGTACTGTATATTTAATCCTTACAATATCAAAACTGCTAAAGAGAATGTTTAAAGCTTTGAAGCTTTCTATCACCCTTTCCAATAGCATGTTGAGTATACACAAGTAGTCTTAAATGTTTCCTAGTGACTTGCCTTGAAATCTGCATGTAATCTCTAGTTTCCCTAGAAGAAAGCTAAAAGAACATTTCTTAGTGGGAATAGTTGTGTGAATGAAATGTCATTAATCTTCCCAGCCTCAGCGTGACAGACGGGAGATGGAGATCTGCTCCATTGTGAGAATGTCACCAGAGCCGAGGCCTTCCCGGCTGCACCAAGTCCCAGTTAACTCCAAAAAGTGCTACCTTCCCAAAGGACTGCCTGAAGGTAAAGGGGTACAGACTTGGTTCTATACTCCTGGATATAGAGTATACATATTGTATATCTATACTGGGCAGGTGCTAACTGGGTAGTTGAGTGTGTAAGAGTTGTTGGGCTTTTTCTTAAAGTCTGAATATTTGGAAAAATCACAAGGCTAAAAAGAAGGAAAGATGCAGAAAATTTCAGCTCTGGCTTAATAGTGTTCTTGTGCAACAGTACTTTATTAAAACTGCATTAATGTTTTCTCCTCTAAGGATCTTTAGCATAGGAGTTAATACAGTCGTAGGCTACTTCAGAATTAAGGCCTTACTATTATTCTGTGCTTTATTTCTAGGGTGAGTAAGCCTGAGTTCAACTTTGGTATTCACTACCACCCTTCCACCAAAGTAGTTCAAGTTATCAGTAATGTTTCTCTTCAAAAATTACCAGTTTCTCATAAAACTACCAGTTTCTATTCTTTTTTCCTGTAACCCTTAACATAGGGAAAGCTCCTTTATTCACTTCCTTGGTTTTTGTTGTACAAAAATGAGAACTGTGAGCAAAACTGTCTCATCACTTAACACAGAGGTAGAAGCCTCTCCCTTTCCCATCTCTGATGAAGTTTCTTGGTGTACCACTGGATGGCACGTGTCTTCCAAAGTTTAAAGTAATTCTTCTCCAAGTTGCTTGCAAGTTGTGTGTCATTTATTTTAATTCAGTATTGCCACACTTTATACTGCATAAGTGTGGCAGCTTTCAAAAATACTGAATACACAAAAATTTTCATTTGCACTCTCTTAGGTACGAATGTCTTCCTACTTTATTACCAGTTATATGCAGCACCTAGAATGCAGGGAAGTGCTTGTGTGTGTATGTATTAATTATGTATTAATTAATGACAGTCATCTGACGCTTCTGTACAGATCAAAGAGCTGGGATTGTGCTGGGTCATGTGCCCAGCAAATTGTGGTAATACAGAACACAGGTTGTACTTGGTGGGCAAGTGAATCAGAAATCAGCAAGTAGTGTTGTCAGAGCAAAAGCTTGGTTTTCTTACTCCTTTTCTAGAGGGTCCTGGTATCAGGAATTAGACTCCACTGTGATGGGGAGTTTGTTTGTGGATGTTTTATTCTCTGCTCAAGGAGTCTTTCAGATGATGCTGGTTTCCATTAGGAATGTTCATATACTCAAAAATATTGTCCTCTTCTCACTGGTAAATGAGATCTGCAAGATCCACATTCTTCCAGACAAATGCTAGCACTGGATATATCTAGTGAACATCTGAACAGCTGGTCAGATCATTGAGCTTTCTTTTACATGTGAGAATGTACCACTTTATTGATAATTATTTATTACCTTTTTTCCCCCCAGATTCTATAACGAGTACCAAGAATTGGATCTGCTATAAACGGAGATGAGATTTTTGGCTCTCAACAGGAGTTAACAGAAGAAATTACTGTCTTGCTGCTGTGACAGGGTGGTAAAACAGAACTCCTAACTAGCAAATAATGGTTGTATGTTGTTTGACATTGTATTGTATTTTGTACAACATTGTATGTTGTTTGACATTTAGTATTACGTGTTTCAGTAAGCTGGTAAATACTCAGATACTTTATATTAAATGATTTTGTACAGCAGCTAGATCTTGTTCTGGGCATTATTCTGTAAGGATTCCATAAAGATGATTCTTCAGTTTGTTTAGATTTTTAAAAAGTTTGACTGAAGAACAGCAGACCAAATGCCTTTAATAGAATTACTTTTGGCTCTCTCTCTGCTAAGATTTCTAGTTTTCTCTAGCAGCATTAGTATCTAAAGATGGGACCTCTGTTTAAGTGTTAACATTGACTGTGAAGGTAACTGCATGTCCTGGGAGTGGCCATGAGAGCATTCATGTACTCTTGGAGACCCAGAAGTCAATAGTATGCCACCTTTAAACTCCTTCAATGCTTAGGTCTGCAGAACTTTGGATGACTGTGAGTTCTGCTGTAATTTGATTCCTGAACATGACTACAGGTCATCTTCACCCCATCATCTCTGAGAATTGGCTCCTAATGATCAGCACTGACACCATTCTGGACATATCCACTGCCCAGCCACTGCCATCTCAGAGTTCTTCCTGCTTCATCTCAGGTGTTTTGTAATATCACATCTCTCAGTCATTTTTCCTTCTAGTGGCTTCAGACTTCAAGTAAATGCCTTATGTGAACACAATGGTGGGAAAAACCCTTTTGCAGCTGAACTGTTTGAAGAGATGGATATTGATGTTCTGGATTTTCAGGTTACTGCTCACACTATGTCCACATAATTCAAATTCCCAGTGCTTCCAGTTCAGGTTGGGATTGTTAATTCATAAATGTTGTTCTTAATGTGCTGAATGTCTCAGAAAACACTGTCAAGAACAATTTTTTTCTGCTTGACTTCATTGCACATTTAAGTAATTTGGAGCCCTACAGTGTTCTCATTACAATATCCTTTACTCAGACTTTCTCTGGACAAAAAGGAAGTTTTTCAATGTTACAAAATGCTAGTATGGCTTTCAAAAGTCTAAGTTTGTTTCTCAGTGTTATCACCCTGGAAAATAGTTCTGTATTTCCTAAAAGAGCATTAAAAGAAGACATACAAAATCCACAACTGTAGTTTGACTGCATTTGAAAATACCTGTAAAAGTTCAAACCCTGATCTTTTCCCCATTGCTCTGGGGTAGAAGGAAGTGCAAATAATTGCTGCTGGATTAGTCTGTGAACAAGTATTATATAAACATTCTGAATGGCTCAAGGTTAAAAATTATGCCATTAAGCTATTTTTCTTTTAAGCATTAATAGAACGAGTTCTGCCAATAACTCCTTGGAGTCCTGTTGGGTATGCTTTTAATTATCAATATCCTTGTTCTTGCAAATACTAAATCACTAGTAATTATGCAGGAATCTAGAGCCCCTAGGAGACAGAGGTGAGCTCCTTGATGTAGCTTTAAGCAAAAATGAAAGTTACATATTTAGTAAGTTTACTTGAATAATCATCATAATGCTTATGATGATTATTCAAGTAAAGGATGGTCCACAATAAAGATGTTTATTGTAAGGATGTTCTGGAAGTCTTAGGAAAAAGCACTTATTTTGCCCCAGGCCATTTGGTAGTGTTACACAAAGAGACTTAAACTGACAAACTAATTGGAAAGTACAAGAGAGGAAAACATGGTCTGTAACTGTGGAATTGGCTGTAGCAGCCTGAATATTGCTGGGGTTTGTCTTTGTTTTTCTTGATGTGATGAGGCTGTATAGGAGGACAGAAATATCATGAACCACAATCTCTTGTCTTTCCCTTCAGTTATGAAAGCACTGCTTCTTATCATCTTTTGTCTGACTCTTAGAGAAAGTGTAATTAATTACCAGGCTAGCTCTTTGCCCCAGGGAAGGAAATTCATTTTGAGGCTGCGACAATCCCTACTCTTGTTCTGCTGTTCTCAAAGGAAAGGCATTTTCCCATAGTTTGGTTTTCAGCTGAAAAATTACTACATAAAATTTCATTCAGAGTGGAAACTGGCTCTTCCATATTGGTAGATAAAGGTTATGGGTCATGGCCAGTTAATGGGTAGGACTGAGGAGGTTATTTGTGCAGTGATTCAGGAGAAGAATCTGTTCAGTGTCACCAGGGCTGCTCTGTCACATCCTAGACATGATGAAGTCTTAATGGCTTGAATGGAATTGCTTCCAGCGAGTCAGTCCATGCAAGAACTCTGATAATCCTTTATCAGCAGGAATTGTGCATGGCAGATGCATGTTGAGTAAATGTATTGTACATAAATCTGTAAGAGGTTTTTCATTAACACTGTTCAGTTATTCTTGTTATCTGACGTGCACTTTTAGGAGACTTTGACTCCAAGTACTCAGAGATGGTGGGAGATGTCTTGTACAGGAGCACTACAAGGGTACATGTGCAGGCCAGTGGAGGGCAAAGCCCTACATGAAAATGGTTCTGGTTTGGTTCATAATCTTCAGACACAGAAGAGATGTCTGGGGCCCAGATCAAAATATGCTGAATGTCTGCATGAGTTCACTTATATTTAAAGGGACTCCATCAGCTTGAATTGCAATGCATTTGAACATAGCTAATTCTTCATTGCTCTAAGTTGTGAAACTACTGAAAGCTGAGTTAGGTACCCTGGCCAAAATTCTGTCATTTTGTTTTGTTCCCTGAGGATGTTTTATCTTTGCGACTGTACTTACGTGCTCCTCTTGAAGCCAGGAGGCTTTCACATGGTGAAAGGATGTAAAGATTGGTCATGTGTAAATGTGTGGCAGCCACGTGTGCCTCCCATACAGAACAAGGGGGAAAAGATGCACCTAAACATTAATTCCTGTTTTGTGTTAGAATTGTCTACAACTTCTGATAGATGGAAAACTAAGTTCCTACAGGTGGATGATTGTGAAGAATCATTCTGCAGATACGTTACACATGTGCTAAATTATGCCTTAAAAATAATAATGCTTAATTTAATCTTACATCATACATTGTTTTAGTTTAATTTAGTTTAATTCCATTTTCCAGGGAAAGCAGATGAGTCAGTCAGTTTTGTCAATCCTTAATTAAACTTCCTAGCAGGATTGTATCTGAAGAGTGAGACATTGAAGGAGACTGTTTGCTGTTACTAGTGTTTCTATTTCACTTAAGTATTACAAATAAAGAGTTTTGTAAAAAGGCATGGATCCTTTTGATTTTAAAAAAACCATCACACTTTTTTTTTTTTTTTTTTTCCATCACACTTTTTTTTTTTTTTTTAATTTTGGAATCAGTTGCTGGGCTTTATTACCTACTCTTTTGTGGATGGATGTTTTACCTGTAATGATGGCTTCCTCTGCCATCAACTACACGCGTTCCACCTTCCCTGTAGGTTTTGACTCCAGTGCATCTGGGCTGAGCTGTTCTGCCACAGCTGTGGGAGAATCGCTTCTTGTACCTGGAAGGAGCTGGGTTTTCGAGGTTTGGGGTGAAAGATGTCATCTTTTTCTGGTGCACCCCTGCTCAGTCCCGAAGGCGCTGGGTACAGCCACGGGAAGGATCTGATGCCTCGATCGTGACCTCCTCTCGCCTTCCTGGGCCTCCAGCCTTTAACTTCCGTCCGAAGAAGGAAAACACAACAGCGGCGCGTTATCGCCGCCCCCGGGGCATTCCTC